GTGAGAAAGGTTGAGACATAGTAGAAACTTTGTCGATTCCCACAGACGACGTCAAACTGATGATGCACAAAATTGTCTTCGCGCAAGATCAACAGTTAAGTATACGAACGAGTGCAATAAGTGAGCAATAACATGCAATTAATAACAATTAATGATTAAAGCAGTAATTAAGGAGAAAACACAGAGGTTTATAGTGGTTCAGTCCAGATGACCTATGTCCACTCTCGAGAATGGCGATGGCGGCCTGAGGCGTTTTATTAATGAACAGTGTCACCGAGAGAGTCACTCTGGTGTATTACAGTGCTTTAGAGAGAGAGAGAGAGAGTAGTGTGTGTAGGAAGGTGTAGTGTGTGTAGGGATATAAGACTTTACCCTCTATATGGAGAGGGCTTACATTATATAAGTGTGATAAGGCGGTGACGTAAAGAGGAAGACTTCTACTATTTTAGTAAATACAACTATGGTAGGAGATCTTCGTGCCTATCATGATGTTTTTTCCCTCGTGCTCTTATTTCTTCAGAGGAGGGTCTTGACTTTGGGCTTGGACCCGAAGTGATCTTGGACTTACATTGGAGTGAAGTGAAAACGGGAGGATGGGCAAGGCATGGACGGCACCCACTTGAGGCCACATGGGCGTGGTCTCTGTTTTGGACTCCCACTTCACTCCTTGGTCGATCCATTCGTTCTTGAATTTTTCTCTGGGCTTTCTCGGCTTATTTTTATTGGACCTGACCCAGTCAAATTCGGACTCATTAACATTGAAACAAACTACATTGAAATGCCCAATTCAATGAAGTAAAAATGCACTGAAAAAAAAATTCTTTGTTATCTACAGGGAAGTGAAAATTATATAAAAAAATCATCCCAACCAAACAATTCAAGTCAGACGACTTTACAGAAGCGAGAATAGTAACAATCTCTATAAGAAAATCAAATCATTATAAATGAGCATAGGTCTAAACTAAGGAAGGAAGAGAACATACGCAATCTGGAGTATGGGAGAAGCATAGTACACGAATGTAATGGAACCTTATGGTACTTGAAAATGCTCAGCCTAAGTCCAAAACAGTGTTTAATGAAACACTCCGTGCGTGCCCACACCCACGCGGGGGGGTCTAAGCTAACAAAGAAAAATGGGTGATGAAGTGAGAACAACGACAATATATAACTGGTTCACCTAGTTAAAAGATTAAGATTACGTCCACTGTAATATAGACTCTTGTTCCGTAGGGTTTGAATTGCTTGAAGAAGAAAGTTACAACAGTTTTCTTAACTTAGAGCCAGTGTGGACAGTGTCTTGTGTGTATAAGTTTTTTTTCCCTCAAAGATCCCTCTTTTATAGTGTAAGGGTATTATATATACAAGTAGTCATCTAGGGTTTTTTTGGTGATCTTATTCTTCTTTCCGTTGATTTTGTGGTCCCTTCTTTTTTGTTTTGTAGTGGTGATCGTTATTCTGACAAATCATCTTTACGATCCTTCAATGGAATGTGCACAAATATACCCTTCTCCAGAAAATGTGCATTCGTTAGTGGCTCCAGAAATTTTCCCCTGAACGCGTGGTGTGATGGAAGGTGTTTGGGATCCGGTGAATGCCAAGTCCCTTTCACCTGAGCTACTTATTGTTGAGCTTGTCATGACGAAGTAGGATTGTGCTGACCTGAGCTCTGTTGGACTCCCTTCTTTGGATTACGACCTGTTCTTATTGTAGACAAATAGGCTGTGGAGGGGGTCATGCAACCATTGGGCCCATTTGATGCTTTTGGGTTTTTGATGGGCAACTTATTCCAAAATTCTATCATCATCAAAACCTATGTTAAAATAAATTATATTTTGATCAATATGTTAGAATAAATTTAAAATAAATGTTTTAAAAATTTCTTAACTAATCTTAATAATAAGACCTACTTTTCAAAATCATAGATTTTTCATTGTAACACAATTTCTAAACCAATTCTAGTTAATTCCAAAAACCAATATCCTAACGGACAAATAATTTACAAATTGTATAACTCAAATTTAAATTAACATTTGAGTAAAAAAATTGATATGATATAAAAGACTACAATAGACAAACTCAAATTTAAAGAAGGAGAGATCCAAATTTAAATGAAGGTAAATTCAAATTTAAAAGGCAGTAAAAATGATCATTATGTCTTTAAAAGATGGTAAAATCTCATCATTAAAAATTTGAGTAAAAGTTTGAATCTCCCTTGATTTGAGTAAAAAAATGAGTTTATCTTAATTTAGTATAAATTTGAGTCAAGGGTTTAAGTAAATTTTTTAGATTTTTTTACTCAAAATTAAATTTAAGTCTAAATTTGAGTAAGGGTTGGAGTTGTCCTAAGTTGGTGTTATTAGATTAATGAAAAATTTAGTGGCCAGTCCCTATATATGGGCTTATTTGGTAATAAGTCCATCAAAAACTCTTATTTGTTACGAAGTCTATCTTTGTCAAATTATCCAAAATATCCTTTTCTTTTGGAATTCCATTGAACGAGGTTTGAAGAAAACCTTCGCAGGGACCTAAAAAATTGTTGAGAAATTTCCTTCTCCGACTTTCATGAAACCGAAACTTACCAAAAAAATTTCACATTCGAAATTTAAACTAAATCCATTGAAGAACTTCCATATTCGACTTCCTTCCCCACTTGCTATGGACGTTAAACTGAAGCCATTGAAGAAATTACTGTGCATTCTAGGGCTTCGTTCCACATCTTGCAAATTTTCGACATCAAAATTTAAAATGAGGTATAGATTCTTTTTTAAAAGAGCAACATGAAATCTGTATTCAACAAATTTGTGATGTTACTCGGAAAAAAATTTCGTTGTTTCTGTGGTGAAAAAAATTCGAAGTTTAATGTTCAATGTCTCAAATTTTCCAATGGTTTTTGTTTTTGTAATTCAACTTACGATTTGGTGTTACTAATTCACTAGATTAGTTTGAATATGATCCACATTATCCTCATTTAAACATTGGTCCATAATAAATTCAAAACAAATATTGATGTCACAGATGAACGATAGCATTAATGCCATATAGGTGGGATAAGTTTATCCAATTGAGTTGGGGAAAATTGGAGACAAACATGATATATGGGTCTGATTGGTTATTTTGAGAAGACTAAATTATCCCAGAGAAATAATTTAAAGAGATTAGTGATTTTATTTTTTTTGCTCTGTTTGNTAGGATCTGTGATCTTACAGCAATTAATTTCAAAAATTAAACAAATATTCTGAGGTAATTTAGTCCTGCTCCACAAATAGAAAATCGATAAACACACAAGTAATTGCATGGATAAATTGAATCTCTCATTCAATTCAATGTCGAACAAGATTGGAGATTTATGCTCTATTTGGTAGGAAGGATGAAAAGTAAAAAAGATACATTTTCTATCCTTCAAGGAAGAAAAGTAGGAATGATGCACATTCAATTCCTTCCTTTGTGTTTTGTTGAATGGATGAAAAATAAAAATGACTAATTTTTTTTTGTTCTGGCTAAGATTATTGCGAGTTTGTGTCGAACATTAATCACACCTAGCTCAACTCATTTAACTAATTGTGTCGTGTCGAGTTGTGAGTTAATCTGTTTATTTTGAGTTTGACCGACAAAACTGAATATGAGTTTTTTATATTTTTTGTTCGCATGTCAGGTTACTTTCAAGTTCGTGTCGAGTTATAATAAAGTTCGTGACATAAAATTCGTGTCGAGTTCAAGTCGTGTCATCGTGTTGAGTTGAAAATTTTCACCCCTATTTAAAATAGAAAAAATATATTTTTTAAAAATTTTTAATTTTTAAATTTTAAAAAAAAATATATATAAATACATATTTTATCATTGTATTTTTTAAATGAAATTAATGTATACATAATATATGCATATATTAAAAGATATATAGACAAATAAGATATATTTAAATACAAATAATTAACTTTTCATTCACTTTCCTTCCGATTTTGTAGGGATTGATTTTGGTGAATTGGAAGGAAAATTTATCTATCGACTTTTTCTTCTTTCCTATTTTCCTTTCTTACCAAACATGATATTTTTTTATCCCTCCAACTTTTCATCCTTCCATTATTTCATCATACCAAACGAAGCATAAGTTATAATTTACCAAATCTAAGCACTTCTTCTAATAAATAATCCACCCAAGTGAGAGAGAAAATATTGAATATAATGGCGACATTACATCATTAATGTCACATTGTGTCATACGAACCGGTGATAGAATACCAAGTGTACTTAATAAGCTGTGTTGTTTAATAACTATCAATAATCACCTTATTTGTCATGTTAAAATAGTGGAATTCACCAATTATATTTGTTATTTTATAATTTAATGATAACAACACGTGACATTAATGCCATAGTATAATGTTACACCCAATATTTACTCAGGACACCTTAATTTTCTTGCATCTTTCTTTCGCGTAATCTATATTCTACGAGTAATGCTACATGAATTTAAAAATTAGATTCAAAAACTAGATTTCATAATTACAATTATTAATAAATTATAACATTTGTTGAAATTCATTACCTATTCAATAATTGTAATTATCAAATTTAATTTTTTAATCCAAAAAACATTACTCATTCAGCTAAGTGACCTTAAATTATTCTGCCTTTGAAATGATTGTACCTATTGAATAAGCAATTCTTGTCTTTATACTCAACCCATTAGTCATATCTTGTATTTTTGCTTTATTATTCTACACTCCATTCAACCCAACATTCAACTTTGGGGTGCTGTTTTTTATTTCCTTTCAATCAACGTGCATGAAGAATAGCCGTCCACTCTTCTCATTCTACAATGGCAGACTTCTCTCTCGCAGTATCAATAGACTTTGGGGTGCTGTTCTGTGTAGTATCTCTACTATTAAATTCTTTTAATACGGCCACACACCAACCGCTAAGTCACTATATTAAGGCCTTGAACATATCTAACCAAGCACACCAAGAGAGTAAAAGTAAAAGTTGAGAGAGCGAAGAAGGAGAGAGAGAGAGAGAGAGATGGAGCTCTTCAAGATGTTCATGTCCCTTGCTTTGCTTTCTGTGGTGGCAGTGTTTGTGCGTCTGTACAAGGCTCTGGTGACGGAGCCGGCGAGGGTTCGAAGGATACTGAAGAAGCAGGGAATAAGCGGACCACCACCAAGTTTTTTACTTGGTAATATGATGGAGGTCAAGAAGCCAATCGATGCCGCAGCGAAAGCTACTAAATCCGCCGCCAATAATGGAACCCAACTCGACCACAACTGGGTTGCTACTCTCTTTCCATTCTTCGAGAAGTGGAGACAAATATACGGTATATTACACAACAAAATCATCATCATCACCGTCTCAGTTTTCATATTCACTGCTAGGATGCAAAATATAAGCATTGACTAACTTTTTTTCTCATATGTTTTACAGGTGAATTGTTTGTGTTTTCTCTTGGTAATTCGCAAATAATGTATGTGAATCACCCTGATTTGATAAAAGAGATAACCACGCATACAACCTATGACTTGGGTAAACCTTCATATCACCGAAAAGAGTTTGGTCCTTTGCTTGGCGACGGCATTCTTACCACAAATGGACCTACCTGGGCATATCACAGAAAAGTCCTTGCTCCTGAATTGTACATGGAGAAAATCAAGGTGTGTGATCACATGATAATGCTGTTTTCAAACCTTTTTGTTTGCTTTGTTTGATGGACTAAAAGTCCTCCATGCCGAACTCAAATTCTTGCAGGGAATGATAAGCCAAATATCAGAGTCTGTAGTTATTCTGGTTGACGCATGGAAGAACAAAATTGATTCTGAGGGTGGACTTGCAGATATAAACATTGACGAGTACATGAGAACCTTTTCCGGAGATGTGATTTCCAGAGCTTGTTTTGGTAGCAATTATGTTAAGGGAAAAGAGATTTTCAACAGACTTAAAGTTCTCCAGGAGGCTACTTCTGATAAAGTTTTGTCCATTGGTATCCCTGGAATAACGTATGTTCTTCACTATGATTTTTTCCATCTATTTCTTCATCCTACAAATATCAAATACTGTTCTTTGGATACAACGTTGATGCTAATTAGTTTATTCCTATATATTTCAGATATCTTCCAACAAAGGCTAACAGAGAAGCATGGGCACTAGAGAAAGAGATTCATAATTTGATCCTAGAGGTGGTGAAGGAGAGGAAGGAAACTGGGGCTGAGAAGGACCTTTTGCAAATGGTCATGGAAGGCGCTGAAAATGGTGAAATGAACCAAAAAGAAATAGACCAATTCATTGTTGCTAACTGCAAAAACGTATACTTGGCAGCGCATGAGGCTAGTGCAATTGGGGCATCATGGTGTCTAATGCTCTTGGCCTCAAACCCAGAATGGCAAGATCGAGTTCGTGCTGAGGTCCTTGAAATTACCGGTGGTCAAACACCAGATGCTGATATGCTCCGTAAAATGAAACAGGTATACTATCTTTGTCAGATTTTAAATTTGATGCGACAAGATTAATAAATTAGATATGAAACTCACTTATAATTGATGGGTTTAAGTGATAATAGATAATCTCGTCAATTAAATGAATAGATATCAACCCTATTAAACATGATTTTTACACGAGTTATAATTGACACAATGCGAAATCAACCATACACAATTTTAAATTATAGAGCTACGAGTTCAAAAATTTTGACATGACATAACTCAAAAGGTTTAGGAACACGACTCAATGCTAAAATAGACCTGTTTTGCAGCTAACTATGGTCCTTCAAGAAACGTTGCGTCTTTATCCATCTGGGCCTGCATTGGCAAGGGAGGTTTTGAATGATGTGACAATCGGGGGTTATCAAATACCGAAGGGTGTCATCCTTTGGACCATGGTTGTGACAATGCACACTGAACCTGAATTCTGGGGACCCGATGTCTTGAGTTTTAACCCAGAGAGGTTCGCAAACGGAGTCAATGCTGCGTGCAAGCTTCCACACGGCTTCTTGCCTTTCGGATTCGGGCCACGAATCTGTGTTGGGCAGCACTTGGCCATGGTTGAACTGAAGATGCTAATTGCTTCCCTTGTGTCCAACTTCTCTTTCACTCTCTCTCCCAAGTATGTCCACTCTCCGGCTCTGAAATTGGTGATAAAGCCTGAATTTGGAGTTGACCTTCTGATGAAGAAGCTCTAAGCTGCACCTTTAGATACATTTTCTTCCAAGAGATAACTAGTTGCAGTCCGGGCAACAAAACTTATGTTGATATAAGGGGAGAAAACATCTTCCTTAATTTTAAGCCCACTATTGTATTTTTTGTTTGTTCTTTATACTGTTTGATATTACCTATAAAAATGGTGTATGATTTCATAAGTAATCCAATGATGCATCTCTCTTTTTTGAATATTTTAGATTTCGCTATTTTTTTCATCATATCGCACAAAATGTTGGTCATGTGATGTATTTCCCAAAAGATGTAATGTTTGAGGTAAGTTTTTGTCCAAAAACAAGGAAAAAGGGATCTCATCCATCAAGTTTGCCCCTTAAAAGTGGCCTAATCTTTAAACCACCCCTTCAACTCATTTTCTATCATAGAATTCTCTAACAAACAGTCACGTTGAATCTATCCATGCCCAGTAAACTCCTGGTGTCTATAATCACCTATTAGCCATAAATATTAATTAAATCTGAGAGACAATAATAAGAATTGAATTATTTTCGAATTTATAGTTTATCTCATACTAACTCTACACTACACTATTAGACTGCCTATGCGAGTTCTTCAACTTCATTAAATGTCTTGTTGGGATTGGATTAGTAATTGAACTTGGATGTGGAAGAACCCCGAAATGGAAGAAAACCCCTCCTTCTATCTTTCTTATTATCCTTTCTCGCATGCTATTAAATGAAAGAAATTAATATGCCCAACTATATATAAGGTTATATATATAATAAAGTAAGATACCGTTTCAATCATAAACTTATGACGAGTTTTTCATGTTTCCAGTCATTTCAAAATTGTTATTCCAACAAACCAAAATGATGTTTATGTCTCTCATCGTTCTGTTAATTTTTTTAAAATTTGGTATAACTCTCCTACCTGTCGGACTCTTGGAATCAATTTTTTTTTTTTTTGACTCTATATGTGTCATCACCGAAAAAATATTGAATGTAATGGTGATATCACGTTACTATTGTCAGATGGTCTCAAAATCTAATAACAGATCAAGATCTGGGCAAGTGAACCCTACTTAATTTAGTGACTACCCTACTTCAAATTCCTTCACCAAATCCAAACAGTATTGGTTGCTAGTGACTTTTTGAATCAAAAAGCGGGCCGATGGTACTGTGGAACGCTATAAAGCGTGACTCGTCGCCAAAGGTTTCAACCAATAAGAATATATTGACTACAATGAGACATGTAGTCTCGTCATCAAACCCGTCACCATTTGGACGGTATTATGCTTTGCCATCAGGCATGGATGAACCATTCAACAATTGGCTTTCTCCTTGGCACACTCAATGAAGAAGTCTATATGAGCCAACCACCAGGCTTTGTGGATTAGTTCTATCTTTCTCATGTTTGTCGCCTTCGAAATTCATTGTATGGTCTTAAACAAGCTCCACAAGTTAGGTTTGCTCACCTCACTACTTTTTTACTACACTACAGATTTATTGCCTCGCACCCGGATCCTTCTTTGTTTATTTTCTCTAACAACACATCAATTTGCATATGCTCTCATTTATGTGGATGATCTCATCATTACAGACACTCTTATTTCTTTCTATCATCTCTTATTACTTGTTTTGATGTGTAATTCACCATAAGACTTGGGTCACTTGCACTTCTTTCTTTGCATCAAAGTTCTTCGCTCTCCCACTAATTTACACCTAATTCACAGACAATACATTGTCATTCTTATCAAACGTTGCAACATGGATAGTGCCAAACCTTTGTGCAACCCATGCTCTCCCAAAATGCAATTACGCAAAACCGAGGATACTACCTTTGAAGACCCTTTTCTTTATCGGAGCATTGTGGGCATCTTGCAATATGCCACTAGTATCCGACTGAACATCTCCTATTTCGTCAACAAAGTGTGTCAAGTTATGCACCAGCCCTCTGTTGCTCACTAGGATACGGTTAAGCGTATTCTCCGGTATCTCAAAGACACATTAACCATTTCCCTACCCGTTTGTCTATTGGTGGTTTTGCCATATTTCTAGGACCTAACTTCATCTCTTGGTGCTCTAAGAAATAGAAATATGTTGCTCATTCTAGCACTGAGCCAGAATATCGTTCACTAGTGGATGCCACAGTTGAATTATCCTGGATAATTTTTGTTTACTGAATTGAAGATCCCCCAACCATCTTGTCCTTTCCTATAGTGTGACAACATTGGGGCTACCTATCTCACATCCAACACCATGTTTTACAATCGGATGAAATATGTGGATGTAGCATTTCACTTTATTTGAGAAACTATTCTCCAAAGCACTTCAAGTCCATTACATGTTTACTAAGGATCAAATTCTCGATGTCTTCACGAAGCCCCTTTCTGTTAGTTTTAGAAACTCAATTCTTTAAAGTGTAGTTTTTGTATATTACTTTTGGGTTTATGATGTAATATTGAAAATTTAAGGTGTTAGATGATATTTAAGCATGTATTTTGTGCATTTGAAGAGGCAGTAAAAGAGTCCAGAATATTTGAAGAAGTCTGTTCATGCCTTTGGGAGATGTGTTCATGCACTACTACGTGGAAAGCCGAACATACAAAAGTTGATTTCATGCTTAGAGGCGGCTGGCCATGGAGAGACCAGATTCAAGGGTCTTCAGCTTGAAAACAGAGGCATATAAAGGGCAAAGAGTTGCTTCCAAAACAAAGTATGTTTATGCAGAAAAATAGAAAAAAATCAGAGAGAAAAAAAATGTGTTGTTGCAAGAGGAAAATACAGCAACTATCTTAGGAGCTGAAGCTCTGTTTATGAGTTTTGAAAGTTATTTTTGTGTTGTTCTTGCTGAAAATTCAGATTAGCTTCCTCTTTATATTGCTTGATATTGTGATAATTCTTGATGAAATATAGAGGTGTTTCTTGAGTGAAATTGGTGTAGCAAATTTTTTTTTGCCTCTGTTTTACTTGATTTTGTGTACCTTTGGTGATTTATTTTACTTTCAATTCCCAACAAAGTTGGTATCAGAGCCTGGTTATGAAATTTGGATTTTTTTTGTTGAACCAAGGGTTTGCTATTTGTTTGTTATGACTATTATGAGTAATGTGCTTCAACACCAATTTCTCAAATTGCGGAACGATAATTATGGGAATTAGAGTATTCAAAGTAAGGTGTTGTTACAATCACAAGATTTTTGAAAAATTGTTGAAAAATGTTACAACGAGCTGACTACGGAGGAAGAGCAAACATTTAATGATGCTCAAAAGATGGTACTTAAGCCATCAAGGAAGACTTATAAGAATGTTTTATTCCTACTTTACCAATGTATTGACGATACCACTTTTGAGAAGATTTCTTCCACCACCACCTCGAAGCAAGCTTGAAATTTTTTTAATGAATATGCATAGAGGCATTGATAAAACAATTCGAGTTCATCTTCAAATATTGCGAAGTGAATTTGAAGGATTGAATATGAATGAAGCCGAGTCAATTTCGGAGTATTTTTCAATTGAATATTATGATNAAACTTTGGTAATTGTGAATCAAATGAGAAGGTATGGAGAAGATATTGATGATGTTCGAGTTATGAAAAAAATAATATGAACCTTAACTCCAAAATTTGAGCATGTTGTAGCCGCTGAGCAATCCATGGATTTCAAAACTACAGGCGTTGATGAATTGATGATGACATTAGAAATACTTGAGCAACGTATTAATAAAATGACTTTAAGTTCTCTTAAACAAGCTCTCCAATCCAAGCTTTATTTGAAAGATGAAAAAAATAGAATTTCAAAGTAATATATCTCAAAAACGAAGAGGCAATGGAACACAAGGTATAGGTTATGACAATTAAGGAAAAGGCTACGAAGGTCGTGGAAGAGGCTATGAAAGTTATGGAAGAGGCTATGCTAATAGAGGTAAATGAGGAAGATGTCAATTCACTAATGATGACAGAAATCAAAATTCTTATCGTTCAAGGGTTAGAGGATGAGAAAGAGCAAGAGACAATTACAACAATCAAGGTTTTGACAAAAGGAATGTTGAATGCTTCATTTGTCACAAGTTTGGACATTATAGTAATGAGTGTTGGACAAATGCAAATAAAGGTGTTGAACATGTGAATTATGCCGAGAAAGCAAGTAATGAAGCGGGATCTTCTTTGTTGTTGGCCTACGATGGATCCGAGGAAGATAATGGCAACGTGTGATTTTTTGATTTAGGGGCAAGCAACCATATGTGTGGCAAGAAGCATATGTTTGTAGAACTTGATGAAGTGGCGCAATGCAAAGTTATTTTTGGTGAATCCTCCAACATTCCGGTGAAAGGTAAAGGTAAAATTCTTATTAAGTTCAAGAATGACAATCATGATTTTATTTCCGATATCTATTGTGTGTCGGATATGAAGAATAGTATTTTGAGTTGGAGGCAACTTTTGGAAAAAGTTATGAAATTAGCATGAAAAATCTTTATCTTACAATTAAAAATGTTCGTGGTAATTTGATTGCTAATGTGAAAATGTTCAAGACTAGAATGTTTTATTTGAATATTCAACATGATGCTATAAGATATTTGAATGCTATTATTAAAGATGATTCTTGGTTGTGACACTTATGACTTAGACATCTTAATAAAGATGATTCTTGGTTATGGCACTTGAGACTTAGACATCTTAATTGTGGTGGCTTGAAGTTTTTATCTAGCAAAAAAATGGTGAAGGGTCTAACCTACATAGATAATTCAAATGAGTTATATGAATAGTGCATTCTTGGCAAGCATCACAAATTAAACTTCTCAAGAGAAGTCAAGTATAACGCATCACGATCCTTGGAGCTGATGCACACGAAGGTTTGCGGTCCTTTGAAGCCTATGTCAAATGGTAAGAATCACTATTTTTTTACTTTTATTGATGACTATAGCCAGAAGACTAGAGTGTATTTTTTAAGAAGGAAATCCGAAGTGTTTGAAGTTTTTAAAGAGTTCAAAAATCTTATTGAGAAACAAAGTGGTTATTTTATCAAGTGGTTGAGATCCCACCAAGGTGGTGAATATAATTCCGATTTATATGAAGACTATTGCAAGGAGCATAGAATTATGCATCAATTCACGCCAAGCTACACACCTCAATTGAATGGAGTTACGAAAAGAAAAAATAGGACTATTCTTGATATGGCTAGAAGCATGTTGAAAGGAAATAGATTGTCCAGAGAATTT